AAAAAGGTCCCCCTCAGATCACTCACAAACTACAACCATGCTTTAGCAAAATAAAAATCCGCCCTAAACTCATCCTGCAATAACGTACACCACCTTTTTTCCTCTCAAGACTCACCTCTACGTATGCCAGTACTAACTCAGCTAACCAGTGAGTCTCGGGTTCAGTGGTAGGTGAGGAGAAGTGCTATCGTAATTATCACTGATATTGCAAAAGATGCTAAGTATTCCTTTTGTTTTCATCACTCTCCACCCCTGACATGTCTCATTGCGTCCTATGCACAACTAGTGCCACAGGGTTAGTGGAAGCACACAGGCTATTCAGGAAGGACACTATAGATTCCTCCTATGCTTTGTAACAGAAAGCAATTTAAAATAAAAACACCAGGGAACATTCGAAGTTGCACAGCCCTTGGGGGATAGACCTGTGTTTTGCATGTGTATGCTGTGTGAAATAAATAAAATTCTCATCCTAGTGGGAGTGCTGGTGAACTACTGAAACTACTGCAAGTTTTCTAAACTTTTTTTTTTTTTTAACCTACGAAAGAATTTACAAAATCTGTGAAAGACAGAAAGAGTTTAACTGATAAATGTTCCTCTTGGGCAAGAAAAGCCATTCAACAATTCCTGCTCCTTACCACATGACAAGAAGTCCCTTATGCAAGACTGTCTTTATTGAGTAAAAATAACTTTACTCGTAACTTCCTCACACTATGTTTAAATATACACATGCACTTCTGTCACAACTAAGTTATCTTCTTACAGTGTTCCATTATTAAACAAACTAATAAAGGAAATTACTGACATAAAAGAATCACTGAAACCAATTAAGATGGGACATGATGGGGCTCTTCAGTGATGTTTCTGGGAGTTCCTCCAATTTCTGGGAGCAGAAAGAAAAATGATAAATGGGAATTTTTTGAATTACACATTCTCAACTAGATGTAGTTCAAAAATATTACCATTTCAGGCAATATTTTATAAACAGATATCATAAAAACCTATACATTCACCTTTCTAGCATATTAAGTTGCATGTCTAGGTAGCAGTACTATCCAGGAAGCAAGAGAGCAGTAGGAAGCTTTATAGAAAACACATAATATTTATTAAAAAGACATAAATTGACCATACAAGAGAATATATATCTTCTGTTACATCAGCAGTTTATTTCTGAGCTTGCTACAGTATCTGCTCAGATGAGAACTTGTTTAATACACAAAATTATCTCCTGTTTTGTCAGCCAATGATTTCAATTCCAAAAATTCACTGCTGACTTAAGTGACCTTATCTGTCCTGTAGGATGTAAAAAGCAGTTGAAAAACAATAAAGTTTTTTTCACAAAATAAATTTTAAAATAATATATCCAGTTTAATATCCAAAGAGATACTTCTTTTTTCCTCTGTTCTGCAATTATCTGAATTGTGAGGATGTGCCGGTGGTATCACTATCACCTAGACCAGACAGACAAGGATTAGAGAGCTCTCTGCTGCAATATCCTGCTACATTTAACTTTTCAGATAGATTCTTTGAAGACAAAGCAAAACCAGTACAGAAAGATCTACATCCAAAAAGGCTGAGCCATTCGCACAACTTTCCTGTTCTGGGGCTTATGAAAAGCATCATAAAATATATTCAGTCCACTTTGAAAGGAGGTAACGATGTTGGAGTCTGATTTGTTAAGAGAGAGACATCCTGAAACTTATTTTTGTGCTTATACAATCACATATTTACTATATTACTTAAAAGACTGATTAAAAAAAATAATAATAATAAACTAAGACACAGGTGTGTTATAAAAGACGAAGATGCAGCCACAATAGGAGATCTCACTGCCACTTCTGCACAGAACAGCGTTAATATGCCTCACCCCAATTCTGCCAGCAACTGCTGCTGGGGGTGATTACGAGTGGGGTGCAGCTGGCAAGAAATGCCATTGCCGGATTCTCAGCAGAGGGAGCTTAACAGGAGTGTCATTTAGGGTGGTAGCTTTATCACCTGGATACATTTGCTAAAACCTGGAACAAGATCAGAACAGCCTGCAGAGGGTAATTACTTACATCCTCTGTCATTGTAATTCGAATTCAGAACAGTCACCTAGGCACAAAGGCTCCAAAACTGCTTTCTTGTTTACTTGTTTCTGAAACATACATCATCCACTGAGAGATCCAATCACCTTATACATTCAAAAAATGTATTCCCTTTTTGAGAACTTAATTTCTATTCCCCTTTCAGTTGATTTCTAACTAACAGTAGCTTCGTTCCTGTAAACTCATGCTAACTTTCCCATTGCTTCTTCAATCCCGTTGTTATCCCAATTCTAAAAACTGGATCTGTTGTTTTGTCCAGAAAAGCAAGCCTCGCTTTTTATCTTCTCTCCTGTCAGGTTTTTTCGCGTAATACTTCCAGACTCATACTGATCAGTTAACCAGCAAAATAAAGTGCAGTTTTCATTCTCTTATGTCCCATACATGTTCCATATTACCGAAAATCTAAAGCCCTACTTCCTGAACATAAACAGCACCTGCAGATCTGCCTTAAAACCTGCTCTCAGTTACGATCTCAAGTAATTCCACAGTGACAGCTTTTCTACATCACTGATGAATAACGAAGTGATCAATAACTCTAGAAAATAACAGTAGATAGCTCTTGTGTTGCAGAGAGGAAAAGCTAAAGTAGAAAGGTTCAGCATTTCAGAAGAACCTGATACAGATAAACTTCTACAAACCAAAAGTAGAAGGTTTGATGACAGGAGAAAAAAGAAAGTTAGCACTGCATCTAGCTTGTGAGGGTTCTTTGCGGTATGCATGAAAGAAGTAGGGAAAAAAAAAAAAAGGCGCTTTTTAAATGAAAGTGTTGTACAGACATAGGTCTATAAATCTGATTTCATACCCAAGTTCCAATTTTGTTACACACTATTAAAAATCAACCTTAACCTGATTTAATGGATACCCAAACAAGGGGGAAATTGGATTCCCCAACCGTAACATGCCAGTGACACTGAGTGATACATAAAAGCAATACAACTAGTTCCTGTCTTTAATTCATAGCTTGTGCTTTAATTTCAAACCTGCCTTGGGTAGAAAAAAGGCTGGAATAAAAGCTTACTGCAGAATTTGTGCGTTAAAGATTTATTGAGATGGGAAGACTAAACAGAACTGAAAGCACATGCAATAAATAGCACATACGGACTTGCAAAGAAGAATAATAATAATAATAAAAGCTGCACGTACAGATCTGCTATTAGCATTTAGAGAAGAAAAATGAAAAAGAAAATAGAAAAGAAAAAAACTAAATCAAAAATCAACCGATACAAAAAACAAGCCAACAAATAAAAAAAAAAAAAAAAAATCAACACAACACCACAACAGCCTGTAAGCGGCACATCACAAGTTTGCGGACAGGGTGGCTGCTTCCACGCGGAAGGCGCTCATGCCCAGCCGGACACTCCCGTGTCACGCCAGCCAGCCCCGTGTCCCCCCTTAAGCCCCGAGGGAAAAATCCCCGCCCGGCGCGGAGCAGCGTTTCAGCACCTCGCTCGCCCGCTGCGAGTCGCTCAGAAGCCGCGGGGGGGGTTGGAAGGACTCAACCTCCCGGGCGCGCCGCGAAGGAACGGCGGTGCCGGCGACAGCGGGGAAATAGAGGAGGAGCGGGGCGCTCCGGCCCCCGCTGCGGCGGCGGCGGGGCGGGCGGGGGCACCGGGGGCGCTGCACCATGGACAGTGGCCGCCCCCCCCCCCCGCCCTGCGCCAGCCGCTGCAGCCGCCCCGGCCCCGCCGCCGGCCTCGCCTCAACCCGCTCCCCCGGCCCGCCAGAAATGCCCCAACCGTAAATACTATTAAGAGGCGATGATCTGCGCCATCTGGCCCTCAGACTTGCCGCCCTCTCCACCCCCGGCGCCGCGCAGGATACGGGCTCAGCGAGCACAAAGCGCGGGGGGAACCCACCGCCACCTTCCCCACCCACCCCCAGCCTCCTCCGTTCGGGGTTCCCCCCCCCCCCCCGCCCCTTTCCCGGGCTCCGCGTTCGCTCCGGACGCCCCGCGCCGCCGGAGGAGGGGGGTAACCCAGCCCAACCACCGCCCCGCAGGCGCTGCCCTCGCTGCCCCAACCGGGATCCATTTTGTCGTACCCGTACTACACCACCACCCCCCCCAGAGTCCGGTCAGTCCCATCTCGCCCCCGAGGTCCCCCCTCGCACGGGCGCCGGCCCGCAGACCCCCTACTTTCTCCACGGAGAGACACCCCCCCCACCCCGGGGCACCCCGGCCGGCGGTGCCTGCCCGGGACCCCGCCGCTCGGGGCGAGCGGGGAGCCCGCCCGAGGGATGCAACAGCAGGACTTCGATAATAATAAATTAAACACTTCGGAGCCCGAGCCCGTCCCAGTGGAAATTCCCGTTAACGGCAGGGGGTGGGGAAGCCCGGCGCCCAGGCGGAGGCTGATTAAATTCTTCCCGGGAAGGCATTAGCGGGCACGGGATCCGGGGGTGGCCGAGGCGCGGCCCGCAGGGGCCTGAGGAGGGGCGCTGGGGCTGCCCCCCCTTCCCCAGGCGGGGCGGAGGGGGTGATGCCCGTTCCGTCCCTCCAACTCCGGTACTTTGTCCCCCGCGCTCACCGCAGGGCCGAGGTCCCGGTCTGCTGCCGGCCGAGCGGATACCGGACAGCCCTCCCTCCCACGGCACCTGCTCTCCCAGGAGCGAAGGGGGGGGGGGGGGAACCGCGTTCCCTCGGCAGCGCCGCCGCCACCCCTCACGCTCCGGGGGAACCCCCCCCCCCCCCGCCCCGGGCACACGCTCCCCTCTCCTCGGAGCGCGGCGGCGGGGCTGCCCCCGAGCAGGTGGCTCCCCGCGAGCGGCCTTCCCCTACCCCCCGCTCCCCGATACTCCCACCTCAGCGGCGAAGCCTCCCCCCCCCCCCCCCGGGTCTCCCGCCTTCCCCCGGGCACCGCCGCCCGCAGGGGAACAAAGAGACGCAGCCCGGCCCCGCTCCCCGCCGGCGGTGCTTACCTGCTGCAGGGCCGCCAGCAGCATCAGCGCCAGCGGCGGCAGGATCCGCGGCGGCGCTCCCGCTACCCGGCACATGGAGGCGAGGAGGGGCGGCGGCAGGGCGGCCCCCAGCAGTCCCGGAGAGCAGCCGGAGCCCGCGGAGCGGGGCGAGGGGAGCAGCGGGGAGGGTCGGGCAGCGGCAGCTGCCGGGGGGCTTGCGGACGGCGTCTGCCCCCGCCTGCCGGAGCCGGCTGCCGCGGCGCTGGCTGCCGGCTGCCGCTCTAGCTCATGGGCAGCGATGCAGCGGGGGAAGAGAGAGACGGGGAGAGAGAGAGAGAGAGAGAGAGAGAGAAAGAGACAGACAGACAGAGGGGCGGAGGATGGGTGAAACTCAGCTCTGGGTCAGGCTTTTCTCTCTGCCGAGCCCCCTCCGCGGTGCAGAGGGTGGGCAGGGAAGAGGAGGAGGAGGAGGAGGATGGGCGAACAAAAGGCTGGGAGATAAGAAAGAAGTAGTCGCTGCTGCTGCTGCGAGGCCGGTGCGGCGGCTCCCCTCGGCTGGCTGCCTTCCCCACGCCCGGATCGTGCCCGCCTCGCTCCTCCCGCCGGTGCCCCCCGGCGAGCTCGGGCAGGCGGCTCCCCTCAGCGCCTCAGCCCGGGCGCGCCAGCACCGCCGCCGCTCCGGCCCCAGCCCTGCTGCATGCTCGCCTCGCACTTTCTCTCTCCCTCTTTCTTCTCCTCCCTCCACCCCTCCCCCTGCAGGCAAAACCCTCCGCTGAAGCACAACGATAACAATACCCCAGCAGCCTCTGCCTGCCGTGCGTGTGTGTGTGTGTGTATACGCGCTCGCCCGGTGCCTGCCTGCTGCTGGCAGCTCCCCCTCCGCCTCCCGTCGCTCCCTGTCGGCCGCACGGCCAATGGGAACGGCACGGCGAGCGGCGGGGACCGCTACCCCTCCTCGGCCCCCAGAGAGCCGGCGCTGGGGCAGGCACTAACGCCGATTCACCCTGCAACGCCATCAGCTGGGGGGGGGGGGGGGGGGAAGGGAATAAATTCCAACCCACCAACTCGCTGTGCTGCAGTTGTTTGGGGGGGCGAGGGGAGAAGTTGTTGGGGAGGGAAGGACCCGTCCCCGCCGTGCTGGTTCAGGGGACGGTCGATGCGGGGAGAAGCTGCGGGGGCGCCGGTGGTGCCCGGCCCGGGGGCGGTGGGACGCCCCTGCCCGGACCCCCGGCTGCTGGCGGCTCCGCAAGTTTCGCTCAACTGTTACTGTGTAGCGGGTTAGGGTTGTTTTGTTTTTTCCTTTTACTTTTTACCCCCTTTCCCTACGTTTCTTTGTTTTGTTGTGGGTTTTTTTTGTTTGTTTGTTTGTTTGGTTGTTTTTTTGTTGGTGTTTTGTTTTTTTTTTTTTTTTTCGCAACTACCTGCTGAATTCTATCAGCAGATGATTTCAGAAGCTTGGCCGGGGCTGCAGTCCGTGGGTTCAAAAATGTCAGCGTGCATAACGGGACTGGGGAGTGCTGCTGAGCGAACAGTTAGAGAAGCAAGTATCAGTGCTGGGTCATTTGCAGAGCTAGCAAGGATTTTCTCTCGCCCACAGGTCACCGAGCAAAGTTGTTTTGTGTCCATGCATCAGAGCTCCCATCCTGGGACATAATAAGGGGAGGATTTGTAGGCATTGGCCCCTAGACGATCTCATGAAGCGGCGATTCCAAATGGTGCATTATTTATTTTAAAGCATCTTATTTTACACTTGAACTTGCAAGAAAAATACTCCCAGTTTAATACCTTGTCTCTCCCCCCCCCCCCTCCCCCGCTTTAGAGGATAACGCAAAACGCCGTGCTCATGCTTTGGAAGGAAACAGCGGCTTTGCTTTTATATTTGCTCGGGGAAAGGCGGGGTAAGTACACGCCCGCACGATGCCGATTCCATTAGCTTCGAAATCGAAAATACCGGTCACTTGCGAGCTGGGGTGCAGCTGTTTACCCAAGTCAGGGGAGAGGGAGGAAAGGCCCGAAGCGGCGGGGGAGATGCGCGCCCAGGCTGGGCAGGGCCGGTCCCAGTCGAAGCGGGAGCCACCTGCAAGCGTTAAAATCCAAATGAGACTCAGCCGAGGAAAGGCAGCAGCAACTAGGAAAGCAGCTCCCCCCCCCGCGCCCTTTTTAAAGTTGTAGCCCATGAGATTTTACCGAAGCCAACAGTTGAGAAGATCAATGAAATGAGGGAAGGAACGTCGGGATTCAAATTTAGCCTGGACTGAGGGAAAAAAAGCGAGAAGGGCACAGCTGATGTTTATAGCGGCTTACAATGAGGGCTTTCCCGGGTTTGCACCTGAGGGAGCATGTGTTCGGTCTCTTTAGCTTGGGTCTGCTGATGAAACGGTGACTTTCCCTGAGTAACAGATCCCTGTTTGTATTTTCTGGTAGGTAGGTACAATATTAAATTTACTAATGACTGTATTTGAGCACTGATTCACTCTTACAAGTGTCCTACAAAATGCAAAGCACACAATATAAACAACTCCATAAACCAACTGTCCAATGAGAGTAATTACCTATCATCTAAATGAGCCCGGCCCCTCATATCCCTCAACCCATCCATCCCTAAAGGCCTGAAAAAATAAAAGGCTCTGCAGTATATCTGGAAGGTTACCAGATCTGAGCTCTGGCTGATGCTTCTTACGGTTCTGCTGCTGCCTTTAAATTTACTTAGCAGAAACAGTAACCCTGGCAGAAAAATTGCTCTTGCCAACATCATTTTACTGAATCTTTTAGCCCTGAACAAGTTTCTATCACGCAGTTGGCTTCCCTCATTTACACAGTCGTAACCAAAAGTTTCCTCCAGCTCATACCAGTTCTGGGTACTGTGATAAAGAGAAACTAACAGAGCAGGGGTGGGTTATATCTTTTGGGGTATAATCTCCACACCGCATCTCTTTATGGGTGAGAGGCATATGTTTGTGAGAGCAGAGCAGAGGAGAAGCTTGTGCATTGCTTCCAGACATGGATGATTCCTCAGGGCTTGTGCTATTCATCTGTAGCATAAGCCCAAGAGAACAGATTTTTTTTTTTTTTTTTTTTTTTTAAATTTCCCCCCACCCCCAATAATCTAGAGCATTAAGTAGGCATAGCTGGAGATTCAGAGTTAGAACTGCTACTACATGGGCTCATCAGCCCTTTTCACATATATCATGCAAAAGCCAGCAAATGGTGGCAATTTCTGTCCAAGATTTAAACAAATGATTTAGAACTCAAAGGGTTTATCTCATAACTCAGCCACAGATTGCATTTATGAGTGTGTTTTAAGTAGTATAAAAATAACGGACATAAGTTAATGTTCAACCTAGGAGATCTCAAGGGCTTCCAGAAAAACCTTGTTAAAATTCCATGATTAAGTTGAAGAGAGGATTAGGGTAATTCCCATGTTAGTCATGGAGTTGAGTCTCTCTTTCAACTTGTCCAAATTAATTTTCATTCCTAAGGTTCATAAAAATCCTGTAAAAAATGAATGTTTTCAATTTGAAACATACTAGATTGCTCATGGCTTCAAATATTTTGGAAAAAAAAAAAAAAAAAAGACTTTTTCCCTTGTGGGTCTATCTTTATATTTAATCTGCCAGGTACTGCCACTGCTACTCTCCTCAATTCAAATTATGCAAATTAAGCACTTTACTGACAGTTTAGGCCTTGATCTGACAAACATTTATACATGTGATCTCAGCAAATTGAATCATGGAGCTCACAGACATACCACTGTTCATATGCCTAAGTATTTACAAGATGGAAGGATAAATGTAATGAGCAAAAGTACTGAGTGCATGCATATTAATTTACCCAGTTTCCTTGTATTCTTCATTACATATGAAGAAATATTTTTATTTGTTAAAAAAATAACATCCTAATTAATGGGTCCAAGGGCATTCAGTGCTTATTACTGAGTTCTATCACAACAGTGGAAAAAAAAGCAAAATCCAACTTTTTAGGATGGTTGCTTTTAACTTGGGCTCTGTGGACCCCTTGAGACTCCAGACATATTCTGCGAAGTCTCTGACAGGCAATGGGGAAAAAACAAATTTGTATATTCTATATAGCAACTTCACACACATAAAATTCCTAAGGGGGAGAGATTTTACTGAATTGTAAGATTGTTAGTCATTGGCAACACATGAAAATGATTGTTTTAGGAAGCAGATAATCATGCATGGTGGCCGGGGAGAATGCAGTTTATGTAGATAGTGTCAAGTGGGAAAGAAAAACTAAGTGGCTCAGATGCCAAAACAGCTTAAATATTTTAAAAATTTAGATAATTAGAATGTTGTTGTTAGTGTAATGCTCTTTTTCTTACTTCAGCAAAATAAGCATGACCCTTTGAATGATCTGGTCTAAGTGTTTTTTTTCTGAAACACGCTTTTTCATGTTGATCACCTATGTGATCTAAAAAAGCCCTAAGTTCTAATTGTCCTTTTATGTAGGGAACTAGTCTCAGGAAAAAAAAAAAAAAAAAAAAAAAAAAAAAAAGGCAGTCTTAGCAGTAAGTAATATTTACTTGATGATATCTTGTAATTTGTTACAGAACTTAACCAAGTTGTGCTCATGGGCTTTTCTGGCACTATCATTGCTTAACATACATAGCCTGAATGTTTCTCCAGCCTGTTTCTTACATCAAGACAGTGCAAGACATGGAAAGGTAACTACAGCTGCAGCAGTTAGTGGGCTGTTCTGCTCAAATTTGAAAATCAGCTGGATCAGGATGGAAGAATGTTATATACAGCAGTTGTGTTTATGCTTTAGCAACCTTTGGCAACATAAATCTTTTTCTATTGCTATGTATGTATATGTGCATATATATATATATATATATATATAAGATTTGATGGAAGAGGATGTTTTTTTCCTTTTTCTGGTAGCTAAATCGTATCTGTCACCATAGTTATATTTCTGCTAATTGCTAGTAACTTTTGCAAAAGATTTCTCTAAGGAGAAGATGCTGAGCATATGCAATCCAGATGTGATACAATATATTTGCATATTGTGTAATTGGCTTTATGTTTATACCCTCAGTGTGATGATTTGGAAATCAACATAGTCAAGCTTAGTGCTTATAATTCATTCTTCCAGGAAACTCATTCAGCATCACTGCCCAGTGCCTGCAAGCTGTTTGGCCTGGAGAGTTCTATTGAAAATCAAGATAGAGAGGAACATCCTGTGATCAGCATAGCATCTCTATTCAGTTGGATATCTTCAACAACAGCAACAAAAAAATATTGTCCAGAACAAGGCCTTAATCATATGGTGTGATAAAGGTCTGAAAGGATGACGACTTGTAACAAGTGCCTATGATAATTTCTAATCACCACAAAAGAATTTATAGAATTTTATAGAACTACTTCATCTCAGATAGACCAGTAGAAGGAGGTGGACTTGCCTCTTAATAAGCTAGCTTCAGTGATTTTTTTTTTTATTTACTCATAATTCACTTATTTGAAGTGTTTTCTTTTTCTTGAATGAAATCAAGTAATCATTTTACTGTCTTGGGATCAGAAGTCTCACTTTTTTCTGACTCATGCAGTCTGCAGAGTCCCAGACTCCCTCCTCAGCCATAGCCAGAATTCACTGGCATGAATGAACCTGTTGACTTCTCTGAAAATCTATGTATGTAACACCTACAAGAAAGTAACACTGGAAATTTCCAGAAGACCAATCATATTACTCCTGACTTCTAGGTAATAAAAATCAAGAAACTGGAACCCTAATTGTTTATGGTAAACCAGCATATAAAATAATTTACTTTAATTAAATTGTAAGAATTTGCTTTATTGAAATTGTAAGATCTGTCATGTTGATTGCCGCTTTCATTATTAAACAGAATTTTTAACACCTATAGTTAGATTTGCCTAATGTTTTCTATCCCCAAATCTTATTTTTATTTACTGTAATATTTCCTTTTTTTAGTTAACAGATTAAATTCGCTGGGCTGGTTGGCTGTTTCAAGCCAAGTGCTTTTTGAAAACTTCAGAAAAATCCTTTGTCCTTTTTGAAAAATGAGATCAAGGAAAATATGTAGTTTTATTTTTCTTATAAAATTCTTACTGCCATCTCACTGAGGGATTTTACTCCGGGATCTGGAGCACAGCGTCTGACTCTGGGAGGAGCATGATTCTTATGTTGAGGTTGTGCCTTTTTCAATTGCTGTTAAAGCTGACCAAAATCTGGCATTGTTACAGATCTTAAAATTATGCTGTTATAGTTCAGAAGAGTTTCACAGCTATATCTCCTGACGGATCTGTCTGCATCTAATATGCCTCTTATTCCCCCAACAACTGCTGTGTTGCAAAAATTCTGCAAACAAACCATCTTCATAGGACAAGTCAGTGTCCCCTATTTGGAGATTGGAGGCGCTGCTCTGGAGTTTCCAAAGCTTTGTGTTGCATTAAGCACCAGAGAGGTGGTAGAGACTGTCTGTTTTCATGAGTTCGTTCCTCCCCTTGAAAGGCCCCGACAGCACCGAGGAGGAGCTGGGTCTGACTGATGTATCAAAGGGTAAACTGAAGGAAGGGGTTGAGGGAATACTTCTCTTGGATGCAATACTGAGGGAAAAAAAATGTAGCACTTTAAGATTTCCTCACAAAACAACATAAGCATATGGCTTCCTCCAGTCAAGAAACTGCTGTCAATATAAACTGTAGTTATACTTCATAGATACCTTCCTTTTTCGTGGATTATAATAGTGATAATTATGTTTTCCATAGGGAACTTGAAGGTAGAATGTAAAATGGCCCAGCATGATAATATAATTGTTATGCTGTTGATATCCTTTTCTGCTTCAAGGAGAGAAAACACAATTACAAAAACTGAGTTTTAGATCACAGTCAATGTTCCCCAAAATTGCAGTTTAAAATAAACATATTACATGGCTTGTTCCAAGGATTCAAGAAGTTTAGAGCATTTTAAAAGTTAGGAAACTGTGGATTCAAGCATCTGAAAAATTGTTTTTATTGACAAGTAGATTAATAATAGTAGTGCTCTTATTAAGAATGTTTACAATTTGTCTGCAGAAATTCAGTCCAAGTTAAAATTTGACACACACTAAAGTAACCATGCAGAAATATTTTACGTAATTCCAGAGAAATATAATGATTAAAAATCCTTCCTGTTTTTTTAATCATTTTTACATCAGTCGGACTTGAAATTGGCTTTCTTCTCAAAAATGATATTTTGGAGATCTTCCTTCTGTTTTGAAGTAATGAAAGCCTAAAGTATCCCCAAATGCTTTATGAATTTATGTGACTGGATCATTAATCTGAACTTTAGGAAGTCTCTAAACATTTATTCATAGGGGAAGAATATTCTCCCTTGGTTACATTAGACCCCTGGCAGCCTGGAAACTTGGGGGGGTTTGTCCTTTTACAGTGCCAGGTACATCCTGTGGAAAATCTGATCTCTGCTGCAAAGCTGTGTCTGAAACTAAGCTCCTCAAACAACAACAAAAAAAAAGCTTTTTCCTGTGGCACTGTGGTGTGCTGTTAAGAGCTGCCCACCTCGTCTGTCCCCAAGACGTCTCCATCCCCACAGCTGAGGGGAGCACACGCTTGTACCCCACTTCACCAGTTTGCAGCCTGCCGTGTTAGTTTGAACTCATCACCCGTGTGAGCTAAACAGCTGATGGGTGCCCCCAGGTAGCTACCGGGCAGTGGATTAAAAAAAATCATGGTGACTCTGAGGCCAAGGGGCAGGAGGATTGTTTGGATTAAGGTGTTAACAACTGTCATGGCAAGATGAGCCAGGGCTCCTTTGTCAAAGCCCTAAATCTACATCGTTCCTCCTTATAAACCCTGCTCTGCTGCTTCTGACCTTAGGATCAATGGGAGTTGCTGAGTGCTCATCATTTCTGAAAGTTTGTCCATTTTTTTCCCAGTGTAAACGGAAGTATTTGAGTTGAAATTAAGGATTTTTTTTTTTTTTTTTTTTTTTTCAAATCAGAGCCCCACATTTGTTTCTCTGTAAAGGAGCACAATCCAATACATGTGCAGATTCTGAAAATAAATAAATAGGTAGATAAATAAATAAAGACTCTAGGACTTTAGTTCTTTTGCTTTAAAATAAAATCTCTTACTTTTTCTTTACTGCTAATGGATCATATCCACTGTTTTTTATACTTTCTGAAGTCAGAAGGGACCATTTTCGTAATTTATTTTGACCTTATGGAAACACAGGCTTCAGAATATTGCTAAGTGATTTTTCTAACAAGGCCAAGAACTTGTGCAAAGTGAGGGCATGTTCTTGAGGCAGATATGAAAGATTGGTTTAGAGTGACAGAATCCACCACAAGTCTTGTTACGGTTAATTTTTCCCCATGAATACGGTGCTTCTGTGGAAAGTCTTACTTCACAAGTCAGGGACAGACATTTTTTCCACCTAGGCCTTCCTTTGAACCACTTTGGAGAGGGTGCAGTACCAGCTGCTGCTGTGACCTTTTCTGTTCACAGTTCCTGAGCTGCAGGCAACAGCAGGGAGCTCAGCATGGGTTAAACACCCAAGTATTCGCTTTGATTTGCAGGAGGATTTTGCATCCAGCGCTGAGCCTTGTGCTTCTGTTACCTGGTTTGGTGCTGCTGCGGTGGTATCTACATTGCACTACAGTTATAGGAGAGCCAAGAGTAGTTTTTGGAGCAAAACAAATAAATACTGAAAATTCTTATATGCCCCACAGGGTTTGTAGTCAGGCATTCTTTATGCATGCTTGTGATTCACCTTAAAATTGTTATATTGGAAATGTTATATACTCTAGATTAAATGAACAAAAGTCTATAGGCTGACCTTTGATGTAATACTGGTTATAAAACATTTCTGAAGTAGTTGCTGCTTGAACTAGATTTTTTTTTTTTTTTTTAAATCCAATTTTCATTTTAAAATTACTGGTGATGGAGAGTCTAATGTCACCTGTACTAAGTTGTTCCAGTGGATGGTTACCCTTCTCTTTAAAAATGTCTGTGTCATGAGTAGGCTGCATTTATCTAACTTGTCTAATTTCCAGGCATTCAGTCTTGTTATTTCTTTCAACACTAAGCTAAAGAGTTCCTTTTTCATGTGTCCATTCCCTGTATTGGAACTACAGACCAGTTACCTTTGGAAAGTCAAAGCTTTTCCTCATTAAGCTAACTAAATCAAAGTCCTTGAGTATTTAATTAAAACACATAGTTCCCAATCATTTAATAAATGTTCCAGTTCTTCCCTGACCCTCTGATTTTTAACATGCTGCTTGAAGTATTAGTGCTAGAACTGCACACTGTATTTCACCAGCAGTTATAGTCATTTGAAAAACAGAAGTAGTATGTGTACCAGATTCCTACTCAATGCTCTGAGTTAACAAAAACAGTGATCACATTAACCCTTTCATCACACTGTTGTTTTGGTTATCAGACAACTCCCCAGTCAGAACCACAGTTTCCCAAAATAGTATCCTTGCTCTGAAACACACCCTTCAGTATTTGTTCCCAGGCATCTGACTTTTACAGGAAGAACCCTCGTTTTCCTTCATGCTGAAGCTTTTGTAAATACATTCTTTGCAGCTCCACTCCTGGCAGTCTTCCACTTCCATCCCACGCTCATCACTTTACATCTCTCCGTATTCTCTCCTTGCACTGAT